GGTGGGGGTGGGAAATCTTGAAAAAAATGACCAAGACCCAGGCCAAGTGGGCTGTAGGTTCCCAACACCAGGTGATGCATCCAAAAGAGAGAATTCAAAGCCAACAGGTGAAATGTCAGCTTCCCACCTTCCTCTACACTCACAATCCTGCTGAGTCAGTAGTTTTGCCACTAGTATTACTGTAGCCAGAACTTAATCCTTGTTGTTTTAGCACAGTACCAGCAATCACAGATATATTATTTTTTTAATGTAATTTTTTTTACACTGCTACTGCTTATGCTTGCTTTTGCTGCATTTCTGAATTAAGTTTTACTTATGATCAGCTTCATTTTCAGATTTGCAGCACAGCATTAAAAGGATTTCAGAGACCATAGGAAATGTTTATTTGTTTAACAACTGCTGGTTTTCTAGAGACTTTGTAAGTCACTACACAAACACTTCAGTGCTGGTTTTATAAACCTTTAGTATTACAAAACAAGTTTTGGCTCAAATTTAAGTTGACGGTGCCCCTTCATAAACACAGGCACAACTTAAAATTGCCTGATTTCCTTCCTCGGCCTTTAAAAATCACCTTTCTGTTGTTTTTAGAATATTAAGATATGTTTTAATAGCAATACATATGCAATCACAGTTAAAACTACGTATTTTGGTCATGTTTTAAGAATTATTTATAACCATTCTTTCCTCAAGCCATCTGGTGAAGCAGGCTTCCAGTAAAATCAACTGCTTTGTAAAAAAGAAAGAAAAAAAAAAGGGGGAAAAAAAACCAAACCCAAAACCAACAAACCAAAAAACACACTGGTCTCTAGTAAATTAAGAGTGTGTTTTAGAACAGGATTGAAATAAGTCGGAAACCAGTTAAAAATCCCTATTCTGAGTCATTAACTCAAGTTCATAGTGGAACTTTTATTAATTGATCCACTATTCAAACTATTCCTAATTGTGTGGATTGTAAGTACTTTTACCTTTAAAGTGAAAAGAGACTGCTGGATGCAAAGTTATAGGCTTGAGGGATTTTCAAAGAACCTTTCTGCTCATCTCTGCTTTTGTCTACAAAAAACATGAAACACCAGCTCCTTTCAGCAAAACCAATGACAGGTTGCCAGGACTCCTGGCTTAGGAAAAGGCAACTCTTCAGGAGAGCCCCTGAAGCTCCTAAATTGCACATTCATGCTCTCCCTTCATGCCAATGCCTTCTGCACTGGTTCAAAGAGGTACTCTACTTTTCCACGAAAGGCAGAAAAGCATCTGTATCTTGAATAAGAACTGAAAATACAAAGCAGGAATTAATGCTATATTAATGTGAGATGAACTGAAACAAGAGAGAAATTCTGATTTAAATCTGCTAAGCAGCTTTAAACCACATTGACATAGCTGCACACATGTATGCATGCATACACACTTCCACTTTTTCCTGATTTTCTTCAAGGTTACACACAGACTGTTCTTATGGATGCTAGAGCATGTGAATATGTATGCATGCATGTCTGTACACACACGTATTAAAAAAATTGAGATGTGAATCTTGTGTAAATAACACATTTATTGAGCTTCTCTATGCCCACACATCATCATTGCATTTCAGATGCAGAATCAGTAGTAAATTCAGCCAAAGACAAGATTAACATAATTTCCAGAAGTAGCCCGAGTTTTTCTTCAGTTGTCTGTACATCCCTCAAATGAATCCAAGCTTTGTTCACTTCAAAAGAAGCAACTCATACACAATAGGTTTGCAGTAAGAGAACATGACACACTCAAGGCAAGAAATCTTCTTCTTTTAGCAGTTTTTGAATACAAAGGGACCACCTATCATTTAGTGCTCTGACTCAAAAATGCTCAAGTAACTCATGAAGTTACTATCCCCTGTTCTCCACCATCTCCCCATTGCAGAGGTGGGTGAGCTCCTGATTACCACTTTGCTTCAATACACCAGATTATCAACCACTATTCAGGACTGCTTAACAAACCAACAGTGGCAGGATTTCAGATTATGGCCGAACCAATGTAGTACCTTCTCTCTACCCCCCTCACAAATTGCATGATCAGACACACACCAAAGCAGATGCAACTGTCACCAGCTGAAGGCAATACAAGCAGGCAGTTACATGGCCTCAGACATGACAGAACCTCACCTATCGCACATCAGATTCAAGGTGGAATAGTCACCATATCAGCTATGCTAATGCAAGCCATCCTGGATCACTGTCAACGAATTAAGTAGAAATCTAGACTTTTATACTAGCTCTTCTTCAGATATACAGTCAAATGTCAACTAATAAGTAAACTAGTAGAGTGGCTGGACTCACTAAAGCAATTTCTGAAATATACCTCCACATGTCAATTAGCAACAAGAAAAGAGCTTTCAACAGAAGCTCACTAAGAAAAGAAATGAACAAAAAAAATCAAAACCAGTAGAACTGGGAAAATAGCTGCCTTCAAATACCCAAAAAACCTTCTGCATTTTTCTTTACTAGAATCTTATCCAGGATTAATTTTGTTTTGAAACAGCCAAGAATGCTTTCCTATAATTAATTTCTAACCAGCACTGGACATTCTGGACAATGAGTCCAATTGAGTCTACAAATCCCAGAAGCACTCTTCTTCCAGTCCGGAATTGTTTGTAACATTGAAATGAATGATAGGTGGGAGAACAGTAACACAAAACGTGCAAGACAGGGAAACAGAAAGGGGCAGATGTGTTAATTCCACACAGTTAACCATAGTAGAGATGAATGTCAACGTACTTTCTGTTTCCTCTGCTACTGAGCATTCAAAGCCTCTGGTTTTGTTACTCACCAGATCATCCAAGAGTGCCTGCTTATTCTTCCTTTTTATAATCTGTTGTAGTTGTTCTTCTTTCTGTATGAGCAGTCGCCTTTGTTCGTTTTCCTGTCGCTCTACCTCTAAAGCTTCTTCCAGTTCTTCCTGCTCCCGCGTCTGAAATGGAAATTAGAAATCAACTCATAGCAATCTTCCTCCTTGGGTGGACAGAGCTCACCCACAGCTCTACTGCCTACCAAAGGACCTAGGACAGACCAAGCAACGGGAATGCAGCCAAATTCTACCTTTTAAGGTAGAATTCTAAGTAGAATTTTAGGTAGAATTTCAAGGCGATTATGATGATTCTACCTCCTCTTATTGTCCAGTGCAAAGTTAGATCTTTTTTTTTTTTTTTCCCCCTTGCTGGTCTCTGCAGTAGAAAGTAACCATTTGGATCTTGGCTCTTTAAATGTTGGAGTACGACAATAGGTTTTCCTTACACCTTCACTCTAAAATGAAGGCACCCACTCTGCTCCCACACATCCTACTTCTCAAGTGATGTAAGTGGGTGACCAAAAATATAATCCCACAATACCATTCCTGATCACCCCCCTGATCAGCTGCATCTTGTGCGCAAAGTACGCTGTGTGCTTCTTAACAGTGGTGTAGAAGAAAAATAAGAAATTACAAATCTGTGAATATTAATAGAGAAACTTATAAGCTAAAACATATTTAAGTAAGAACTGTAAAAAAAGTCACATTCCCAGAAAATGAGGAATTTTGCCTATAACTTGGATTGAAGTCATATGCCACAAGAGAAGAATATAAAGAAATAACTAGTACAGAGTGACCAGTTTTTGTTTCAGGATTTACTTCTTGAGAAGTCTCTTAACCTGTAGACTATTAAGTCATCTGTATTCAAAGATCATAGTGGAAGAAAAAAGAGGAGGGCTCAAAGACCAGGGCAGGGGAAGGATTACAGCTAAACAACTTTATGCAGAAGAGGGAATCAAAAGAACGTTAGTTTGGTGGTAAGAAGGTATAGGACAATAACATACAGAAAACATTTTCCAAATCTTCCCCACCAAAAATACTAAAGCAAAGGGAGATCCAGTAAAAACGCAGAGATAATTAAAATTTTATAAAACTTAAATGGATGATTAATCCATGGAAGCAGTTTCAGCAAAATATTATTGCAGCCAAGAGCTTAATAAAATCTGTTCTTGTAACAAAAAGACCTAAAATTATATCATAAAGCATAGCAACCTGATACATGTCAGAATATGCTGAAAAACATTCCTTCACCAGGCAGATCAAGCCAATGGGTCCCAGTGAGGCCCAGTTACTCCTAGATGCATGAGCTGACAGATCTCATCACCTGCCACCAAGCCAACAGAAGCTGCTTTCATTTTGTAACTGGCAGTGACACTGGTAAAGAGCTGTCACCAACCAGTGACCACCTGCAACTGGATTCTCTTTGCATTTAACGAAAGGAAGGAAACAAACAAAAAACTCCAAGTTGCTAACTGAGGTTATTTCTGAGAATTAAGAGATCTACTTAGTACAGTCAACAGAACTGAAGAGCTCAGGGTCTTTAAGACATTCCAAGCTTCTTCCACGTTTATGTACAAAGACTGCCTGGAATTTGCACTGGAACAGAAGAAAACTTGTAGGGAAGTGCTGACAGACCTAGTCTGAAGAACCAGCCCAGAAACATTATAGTCAGAAATAAGTAAACTGATATACAAACCTAAACCAGATCAGACTACAGGAAAAAGGAAGAATTATCACAAGTCAGATCAAATTCTTTCTGAAAGGAAGACCAAACAAAATAGTAAAACAGAAGAGAAACAAGCTTAATAGGCAGCGAGGGTTGTGTCAAGCTTAGAAATAATCTAGGCACAGTCCCAACATCTAAAGAAATAAAGATGATCATGGTGAAGCCTGGAGTAAACTCAAGAAGACAAGTGGAAGAAGTAAATAGAAGGTGTAATAATGCTTCTCCACATTCAAGAAAGGACAATCAAGAAAACTTAAACACATTTACATCGCGGAGTTCAGACAAAACTATTTCAAGACTGAACAAAGCAGCAAGTAAAATTAAACATACAGTAACAAAGTAGGAAGTAACAAGTCATCCTTTGACTGGAGAATTACAGACTTTTAAGGAAAAAGGCACATTTCGGAAAACTGTAGTCCACTCAGAATGCAAGACTATATGTTGACTGAACTAACTATAACAAAAATAAACCCCTTCTCCAAGAATTCTTTACCTTTTTGTCCAAACCTGTGTACTTAAACACTGCATCAAATCCAGAGATCTAACAGATGGGCTAGTACACGAGTAGCAAGGTCATTAGGAACTGGCTACAAAGATAAGAAATATGACTTGTATTGACAGAACAAGCAGTTATTCAAATCCTGAGGTGACAGGTTCAGTAACTTAGTATTTTGATTTGTAAGAAAGAATGACATACTCATGAGGATAGAAGTAGCAGAAGTGAGATGAAAATAACTTACAAGGCCATAGATTTGGAAACATTAATTTATCAGTTAGAAATCAAAGAGGAAAAAACATGATGCATTACTTGACCACTACTGATTCTGAACCTCCTGTATGACAGTGCTACAAGAGAAGAACAGTCTTAGGATCACGCATCTCAGCATACTTCCAGTAGAGATGGGAAAACAGTGTTCTTTTGTAAGAGCTGTTGTCAGCTACAATACTGCATTCAATTCTGGTCCCTTCTGCCTGCAAAACACAAATTCAAACTGCAAGAGGCAAAGGGTAGCAAAAAAGGGACAAAGAATATCTATATTCCTCAGAAGTAAACTATTACAGTGGTCAGAAAAATTTATGTCAGGCCAAGAATGAAGGGGCAATGACTGTCCATAAGAAGTTTAGGCAAGAAATTAGCACACCTTTCAGCATTTAAGGAGTAAAGACAGTCCAATACCTGCCAAAAAGAGCTAGAGAGAGAAAGCACCCTTTCTTGGGAGAGGGGTAAATTTATGGGCAAGGTCATGCAGTTTTTGTAATAGCAACTGCATCAAGTCTATTACTATGTTTCAATTGTTGAAAAAGAAATGTTGAATGTTTCAAATGTTGAAAAAAGAAATAAAAAAGAAATTTCTCCAGATGACCAGTAAGTCTGGATTCACCCAGGCTTGTCCAGCTTCCATCAGACAACGTCTAGCACAGCAAGACCATACAGTACAGAAAACAGAAGGCCCAGGGGGCTTGGGTGGGTACAGAGTATTACTGTGCTGCTTGATACGATCACACAGGTAGTGCACAGGCTGCCTGCGAGTCACTTACATGAAGGGAAGGTGGGCTGCAGGCAAAGCACACTATTCTCATGGTGACCCTAGAGGTTGCACCTACATTGTAAAATAAGACATGTAGCCAAAGATTTGGCAGGTCTCTTCAAGCTCTGAAGCATAGGATATTGCACAGTGTCAGAGACAGGATAACAGATCAGAGATGGACCCCTGGGGGAATTTCCTTGCCTTTAAAAGGAAGAGGTTCAAACAAACATTTTTCAGATTCCAGTCTCCTCCTGTGAAATCCTAGAGCTAAAGAAATCATTGGGAGTTTTGCCACAGACTTCAGGGGAGTGAGGATTTCACCCCTACTGATTTGAAAGCAAGTCCTTAGTGCAACTGGAATACAAACACAAAACCTTGTTATGTCACATTCTGGGCAGACATTTTCCTTCAAGACCTGATAAGAATGTGTATTTTTATACTGAAAAAAAAAATTTAACAGATTAAACTTTTCTTACAGAAAGAAATGCTTGCAAGTTTATTTTTAAAGAACAAAATTATATCTGAGGCATGTTTTCAATTAATAAATCTTCAAAGAACCATGCGTTTTGCATATAGATCATGTATACAATACTCCTGATGTTATTGTTATCAGCTCTTGAACAAAAGTTTTAATGTTTGTTTCAACATCTTTCATTTTAAATTTTGCATAAACCAGACCTGTGCTTTCCCTCAATTTTACAACTCTCTCCTGGGAGCTTCGTAATGTCTGCGTCTGGATTCCTTTTTTCCTTCGGATGAGAAAGGAATGATTGTCCTGGTATAGGAATGAACTTGGTCTCTCCTGGATATTGTCCAACGACACTGCCAGCACGCATGCAGTGGTGATGTATTAGATGCAGATTTTACTGCCTGACCCGCTTTTTAAGCCCTTCCCAAAATAAAGCATAACTACATTTCAACTACCAATTTAATCTCTTTAAGCAGCACTAAATATCAGTATCGCAGAATATTAGCGTATTATGGTTTTTGAATACAAAGTGAAGTCCGCATTGTGCCTTCAGCTTTGACTTTTTTTTAAGATATTACAGAAAGTACTCCACTTCAAAAATCTAATTCTTTAACTAGTGAATAAAAATTGTAGGGGAGAGAAGTTAACTAACCAGTTTTATCTTATTTTTCTGAATGACTTCTTTGTTATCCTTCTGGTACAGCTCCATTTTCCTTTTGGTGTTTTCCAGATCCACATTGTTGGTCAAGTTAAATACTGCATAAATATTAGAAAGACAGAAAGTAAAAGTATTAGGTTGGCAAGCATGACTATGAAAAAGAAACACTACTCTTATGTCCCTTCTAGCACCAGATATAAACATCGCAATAACAGAATTTATTTAAATATGCCCTGTAAAGCAAGACACAATCTGCTAAATCACTGCAAACTTCAACAGAAGCCAGCAGAGTTCCTTTAGGTTTATACATCTGTAGGAGACGAAAATTTGAGTTTTGCATCCTATTTTGTGATACTGATAATGATACACATGAATAATCATAATATTATTCATAAAACATTGACCTTTTCAAGTAGCAGTTACAGCTAAGAACACAGTGATTCCTATAAAATTAAAATTAGACTAAAAACATACATATTAAGATAAGGTTAGAAATTAAGTCATTCCATTTCACAAGAGTATCTAATGCACAAAGACTACAGAGACTGTTTGAATTCTCAAGTACACAAAAGTTTTCACATCATTTGATAACTCAAAAAGGCACCAATGTACAACTACCTTTATTATGAGGAATCTGCAGATGCAGATTAATAGGTTAAGTGACATTCTTTTTATGTCTCTCGATAGTGACAGACTATATCCCACGTAATTATGAGCAGCAAGCAAGCTCCATAGTTTAGCACAACATTCTCGATTATCTACACATGGCATGGAAGATACCTCAAGAAATTGAACAGTTTCTACAATCAACAGCTTGAAAGATGTAGATGGCTTGGATGATTAGTAATTTAATACAATGCCTGAGCCTTTCACTTCTAGGTCACTGGTTCAATTGTGGGTCAAGTGAATTCCAACTGAAAGCCCTTATCACTGGGAAGTCGCCTGGTGATCACCATCCAGAGTGGATGCTGCACTCGTGCCCCTGGCCTTAAAGCTATTGAAGACTGCCAACATACAGCACTCAAAGCCTCAAAGAGCTTTGTCGCATGGCTACAGTAAATTCACAAGAGCAGCAGAGAAATTTGCACTGCCACTGATAAATCCTTCACAAGAAAACAATAGCATAGTGATTGCGCTAAGTCAAACCCTGAGGAAGGGAAGGAGGTTCTAGTGGAAATGCCAGCATGGGACTCAGAAGATTTTGGTTCAGTTCTTTCTTCCTAGGTTCTCAAGCGACTAGGGCCAAATGCACACTGGACACATGCACCACTGTCAAGGCATTTGTATAAGTCAGGCTGCTAGAGAGAAACAGAAGGAAGAAGCATGAAATCTGTTGTTACTCATCAGGATAGCACACGTCTCAGTTTGGTAAAGATTATATCCCTTCTCTCATCCTCTCCACAGGTAACATGGCAGAAATGAGCTTTTAAGAGGGTTCTAGGTAAACCAAACGATTAACAGCCTAGACTGGCAAACCAGTTGACAGCAGCAAAGGAAACAGCAAGAAATCAAAGCAGGGAGCAAATGGGGGCGGGGGAGAAAACAGGGAAGGTCCAAAATGCAAGAGTTGTGGGATACAGCTCAGTTCTACATAGCCAGCTGTATAGCAGCTCACTACTGCCAAAAAGGGGCAGTCCTGCTCTTACGTCCCTCTTCCCAGGCAAAGGTCTCACCCTTTCCCCTGCTCTGACTCCAGGACTCCCTGGATGCTTTGCAGTGTCAACAGAAACCCTCCAGTAACCTGAACTGGCTCAACAAAGGGGCCGGACAAGTGCCAGAGATGATACAAGGGAAGTAATAAAAGTGTACAGATGGGAATAGGAATACTCTCTTTCCAGGAGTACTGAACACCACATCATCTTACTCTTATCAAAAGTATTCAGTCCTTCCTTGAACTGCAACAAAAAGGGCTAGGTAAGATACAGCTGAAGAAATTCCTAACCTTAAGCAAATAAACAAAATGCTGTATTTATTTTTTCCCCCCTCTTTTCCAAATAATGAGCAATATCAAGAGGACTGACATTTTAATTCAGCCTGGCTCCTAAATCAGCTGAACTCTTCCATCCCCATGCCATCACCCTCACTTCAGAAGGAATATCTGAGATGAAGGCTGGTTTTGTGGTTTAAGCATTTGATTGGGAATCAACACCTGAGTTCAATTTCCAACTTTGCTACTGTTCCTGAGCAGATTGCTGGGCCTTTATACTGGAGGTCTCCCACCGGTAAGAACCAGGAGTAGGGGAATAAAGCTTCCTTTCTCCTATATGTCGTCTGATGTATCTCCGTCCTATAGCTATATGCAGCACTCATCTCCGTATCTCTTGATCTCATCTCAGGTGGAACCTCTGGGCACCGCTATAACCCAAACAAGCCATTCACAGTTCAGCTCCTTGGGTTTTGGCAGCAAGTTACTCATTTCAAATGTATTTATTCTTTTTCTCCCCAAAAGGCATAACAACATTTTCCAATTTCATACAAACATACACTTTCTGGTTGTAGCAACATTTCCTTAGTAAAACACATTATTTTAGTCTAAATTTTTAGTATTTTAATGGAGACTTGACCTCCAAATTTCCAGCCTACAGTTCCCAGCTGACAAGCAGCTTAATATTTGAGTATTACTGCAGAGAAGAATTGTCATGTGAAAATGCTGGCATACAATCAGACCAGGGCTCTGCAATGACAGCAGCTGGATGGGAATGTCAGCACTTCCTACAACTTAAATCCACACACCAACTCTCTAAACTCTTCAATGACGACACAAGAAAGAAATAGCATATGAGACATGCTGTGCTAGCAGGATGCCCAGATGCCATCTTCAGGTGCAAGAGGAGGAGCAAGATGATATGCCAAATGCCTTTACGCTCCTGAACATCTTGGGTATTTCTCCAAAAATAATCCAGCAATAAGCTGATGATCTAGGTTTTGCAACTATTGCTGCTTGAAACGTTCACAGGGTTTCCCCCCCCTTCTCAGTTATCTTTAATAGGTTCAACTAGTCACAACCTAGGTTTGTAAAACAAAAACTGTAAGATTTAAAACTCATACAGGGGAAAGTAGGCAAATTTTAGACATATGCAGATGCCTGCTTTTATTTAGAACTACTTACAAAAGCGGGTTTATTTTGCTACTTGATATGAAGTAACATTTCTATGTAAGAGATGTTTCTGCATCAATGTTTAGGAAATCTTCAATATCCACCTGCATAGTCACCTTAAACGCCCACTGCTCTGCTCGCAGCAAGGTGAAAGATGGTTTATTTCCCATTCTGTTTTCCTGCTGTGGCTGGAACCAAACCACAGGTAAAACCCTCTCAACGGTCAGATCTGTTCATACCATGCCAATTTTGCTCTGCCAGTCTTGCTCTACTCTGTCACTTGAGGATATGGTAGGACACCAGCAATCAGGAAGACTCATACTTCCAGCACCCTCAAAGGCCAGAGAAGATTTCTCCCACTGAATATGGATTCATAGTCATTGAACAGGAACATTACCTTGGTCCTAAGCATCTGCTCCTCAACACTAAGTTGTTCATGCTTCAAGACTTAAAACACTGAAGAGCTACATTTTGTTGCAACAGTGTTAAGACCTGGATGTCTCTATATCAATATCAGTGTCAATAGTGGTCCTTTAATAAATTAAAAGAATAGCTTCCCTCCTACAATAAACACTCCAGCAGCAAAACAAACTATGCTCTTTGACATTGCATCGTTATCAGTGGCCAACCAGCCAGCCAAAACATTTTCCAACATATTTCTAATATTTTTCATGAGCTTCAAATGTCTTTTCATCAGTATTCAGAGAATACAAATTCTTGCCATTGTATCCTCACAATTACAGCTGACAAGTCCATTTTATAAGGGGCATTAGGTCACAAAAAATAATTAAGAGATTATTTCTTTCTCTTCTCTCTTGTCTCCTCCACAAGTCACTTGGCATTTAAAAAACAAGTAGTATCAAATCAAAGAACAGTTACTAATACTCAACATCTTACCTTTTACACAGCTAGGACTATGCAGTATTTTTTTTATTTGGTCTGCTTTGAGTTTTGCCAGAAATTTTTTTTAAATATAATTCTTCCAAATGTTCCCTTTTTAAAAAATACAACAAAACAAATCATAAATCTAGAAGAACTAGAAAGAGTTAAAAAACCCTAACTTATATGCTACACCTATCCTGAAAAAATATTGGTATACATCTGAATATGACTGGCAAAGCAGATGGCTAGTTTGAAAAGGTTTCAAAGAAAAGCCAGACTTATTTTTGTCCATGTTGAAATATAGCATAAGCTGATATAAGAGGCCTGAAACCCTTCAGGGAAAAGAAACAGAAGCTGTTTTGTATGCAACAATTATTTATCTACTTATCCATCTCACATTGGTTGGTTTATAAAATGACTTGCCTTGAGACATCTGTTGAAGTATAACAGGAAGACTATTGTGTTTTTCTGAAACATTTCATTCTATTTAGGTAAAACTCCCTTCTTCTGACATTCAGCCTCTACAGGGAGACTTTCGCTGCTTTTCAAAACAACAACATTCATTATGCAATACTACATGGAAGTAGTAGGAAATGGAAAAATATTTTCCTCGTTATAAAAGAAAAAAGAAAAGGAGACAAAAATTTTAATTATATGGCACAATAACTTGTCCAGAGACAGAGCAGCATGAATGAATGTCACTCCACTGAAGGACTTTAAGTCCATCAAAATCTCCCTGTTTTAGTCTGAGATACTGCAAATTTTCTGAGACTTTTCCTCCTAGTTCCTTAAGAGACAGTAATGTTACCATGTAAAAATATTTGCTATTCAACTATTAAGAACATTCCCTCTCTAGCAAGACAGCAAATGATTACTCTGATGACAGTGTTTGATCTGCATTGCTGGTATGAGCCTGCTGAAAATTTTTAAATTAGTAAGTATTAGTTTGTTGTAAACAATATTCCTCCCACCCTGCTACAAAAAACAACTTCTTGATCATCATCTTCATAAATCACCAGCTAGAGACCAGGCATTTTAGAAGAGCAACTGCTTTGGGCAGAGCGCTATGAAGGAAGACACAACCACATCCTCAGTCTGGCCGGGGATTCCAAAGCCACTGCGGCACCTTCTGTTGGTGCTTTCAACGCCTGGGCCAACCTCTACCCCTGTACTTTTAAGAGGGGTAGGAGGGGGGTGAGGGGGAGAAAAGATGGAATAGATCTTAACAGGTCCCTTCCTACCAACATTTCTGTGTTTATAACAAAATAAATTTTCTTTTGTCAGAAACAAAAGAAAACCCACAGCTAAGCGAGAAAAATCTAGTTAGGTATTAATAATTATTTCTTTTATCCTCAGTTGTCTTTTATTGGGACAATAATTTTCCAGAAAAATATCTTAGCATAGTAATAAATGATTGAAATCACTCAGCCCCATCGGTCTAAGAAAGATCATTTTGGCTGGAACAGTGTGGTACTGAAATCTTTGTTCAGATGAGATGACTGAAATGGATCTTTGATAAAGCTGCTCAATTTCCAGTTGGGTTATTCCCATTGTCAGGACCAGCCATACCATCCTCGTGCACACACACAGAGGAAAAAAAACCACAGAACAATAAACAACACAACCCACAAGTGATCATAGATACCAAAATCCTCTCTTTCCAAAGATGACTTGTGAGATAAACATTCTGAGCAAGACAAGTCACTAGGCAGCTGGTATTGCATAAAATCTTAGAGCAGTAATGAGATACAGGAATCCGAAGGGCACAAATACAGTAGTCTCCTTCCAAGTTGAATGTACTGCATGTTTTTAAAAAGCAATAATTACTATTAACAATTGTGTTGCGGTCATGCCTAGAGGCCTCATACAGGTATCAGGAGAATGGTGCCAGGCAGTGTGTATACGCATGCTAGGAGGCGGGCCCTGCTCTGGAGAGCTTACACACCGGGTTTTGAAAAACTAGCTACAAAGGTACTCTGGGGAAGAAGAAAATCTTGCAGAAAGAGCGAGCAAAATTTGCATGATGTCCAGAGATTGTAACTTGTAGCAACACTCTAAGCTTTAACCTTGCCCCTCTCATCACATGGGCATAGACCTGACTTATTCCGATAGATGTTTCCACACTTTTCCCAAAGGCAGGTTTTAACCCTTTCACTTTATTTTTCTTCCTAGTGTTAATGACAAACTGTGTTTACAATGTTCTCAAATTGTCCAACTGATTTTTCTTCTGGGGAAAACCTGCTTTAAAATGTGGTTTCTATTTAAAGCCTTGTATAACACATTTTAGCCCAAAGCATTATTTAGTGGCTACATTCTAAACCACTTCAAAAATGTGTTTTTTATAAAAGAAATCTTAAGAGGTGACTACCCTAATGTTTGTTTGACCTTCCCCTCTCACACTTTTGCTGTACCGCCCAACTCTTTTCTTTAAACAGAAAAAGTCTGTAGGTATAACAATCCTGATATGAAGGGGGAAAATGTGTTTCAAGTGAGGTCATATACCACATCAATGGAATAAAGACAGTGCAGTTGCTGCAAACGTTGCAGCTGACCTACCTGAAACATTTGGAAAAGATACCAGAATTGTGGCAGGGTCACATGAAGTATACTTATACAGGATGTTTACATTTTGTCGCTGCCAAGCAACTACTTCATTTAATCCCCCACAAAAACTCAGAAAACAAAACTTACCAGCAAAAAGAAAACAGGGTAAAGCTACACTTTGACCATCCCACAGAAAAACTGAAAATTTGGGGCAGGGGGAGAAATGGGAAATCCAGTTCTCTGGCTCCCTATCTTCCTAACCTGGCAGCTTGTACAACCACCACCAGCTACTGCCAGCCTGCTGTACATTGGCCCCACGAGGCAAAACTTTGCCCTGCATGACTACAAGCCTAGTTTTTCCGTATGCACAAATGAACAGGGAATTCACACACACACAAATAACTACTCTCAGCAGTAAAGTGTGAAGTAACCAGAATTGAAGACACCTTTAACACATTGTTCAGCCATGCCACACACAACATGCACAGCAAAAACACTGGAAGAAGTCACACTACCGCTACATACCAGACAAATGTCAGGTGGAGAACTCTGCCCAGGAATGCAGGCATGAGAGGGCTTGGGGAGGCAGGAACAACCTACTAAGTTTGAAAGCAAGATGTGTGCAAGGAGCTTTGTCACCAGGGAATGGAGAACAGGGCTTGAATTCTTACCCAAGGTGTTGTTCTTGAATCTAACCAGCCCTCCAGCTTCTGGATCTGCCTAAAAGTTAGTAGATCATAAGTGACCTCTTCGACAGTAAAAATTAAGAGCCTTCTGACTGCACCCCTTCTTTCCTCTCATCATCCTGGCTGCTACATGAAGAAATTAGGAGGTAGTCATACTTTCTATTCCTTTTAGTATTTTAGGTGTCCCTTTTGGGCAACTAACTCCAATTCCTAACAACTCTATCTATTGAGCTTCTACATTATACATTTGCAGGACCAGTCCAATTACAGACAAATTCACTCTTCTTCACAAGGTTATGAAGACCAGCCATGAACTCTGCTGCTTCTAAACCAAGTTACTAGTGCAGGCTCTGGAACCATTTGAAATGTAACAACCTAATACCAAGAGCTGGAGAATCATAACATTGTGCAAAAATTGATGAGATTCAGGCAACTTCAGACAGAACTTCAACTCCCTTGTTGCAGATGCTGAAAACCCCTGTAACAGCAGTTAAGTAGGAAACCTGTACTTAATGCTATATAAATAAAAAGCAGTTTTCCTTTCCATGAGCACACAGATTCTTCCAGGATGCTCTGGCTAAGATGCAACCATTCTTTCTATCATTCCCTCCTTCCCCTGCACTATCCAAAAAAATATACAAACAGAACAACACCCACATAGTCTCTTCCAGGTATTTGGACCCATATGAGTGTGCCTGGTGTTTCCCAGTCACACGATATAGCTCTTCAGCCTCAGCCTTCTAATGCCAACAAAAACACGATACATTACTCACAGCAGTAAGTGTACTGGATACACGTCTACAAAACACCACAGTGCAAAGAGGAGCAAGGGCTCCTTTGAGAAACCAAAGGGAAGTAGCATCTCCATGTTATCCTTCAAATCACATTCACTGCCCCTCCTGCATGTTCTAAGCCACCTCTTCTTCCTCCAGGACAAAAAAAGAAAAGCCTCAGAAGCTCATAAAACCCAAGAAACAAACCATTTAGGAGTCACTCCTTTGAACACATCCTTGTTTTTCTAAGCAAAATCCATCACTCCACCGTAAATCACAAGTCACCCTAACTAAGAAGAAAATAAACTCTGTTGATAACATAGTCCCTTCCCAAAGGGCAAAGTTCTGCTTCAGCTAATCCAAAGAGAAAGAAATCAATGTTTGTTCCTAAACCTTCTCCTTCTGCAAAGCAACATAAAATGCTACCACAGTGGTATGTAAGGTTATCAGCTTCAAAGCAGCTTCAGCTACTGTACTTGTAGAAGCAAAAATGATGAAAGACACCATATGGCTTCTGTCATGGTAGATAAAGCTAATGGAGGCATATAATGAAAATTTCAATTTCTCCTCTCTTTGTTTCATCTTTCCCAGTGCAGCACCAACAATCCCCTGCAAGGCTTTCTTTTCCAGCTATAAAGCACCACTTCCTCTTTGAATCACGTTTCTTCTCCGGCAGATAAAATGTTTTACTTAATGATGTCCTACAGTTCAGCAAATATGATTAAAAATGTACAGAAAAAAGTAATTAGATAAACATCTGATACTATGATAAATCCTATTACAGAAACATTCTCATAGGCAGCTGAATCAGAAGATAAAAGCCTATGGTCTCATAAGCACAGCACATCAAAATACAAGCATTAAGACTTACCAATTTCTTCTATTTCTTCCAGGAAATCATTATATTCACTTAGACTGGGAAAGTCATCCTCTCTTTTATTGTATCTTTGAGAGAAGAGAAACAAGTATTTATATAAACACACAAAGATGCAATTTCAATTCAACATGGCTCTTGTTGCAAGTGTATTAAACATTGACCTAGTTTTATGAACTATGTGCTTTGTGGCTCTCACAACTGACCAATGTGCAGGATCTTTAAAGGGAGACAGAAGCACTTGTTTCAAAGGAAAGGAGCCAGCCTGGCATAAATTGGTGCTATCTTTGCCTACTCTTTGCCGATTCCTTTTCCAAGGTTACAGGTAAACAGGAGCACAGAGGCTAGGATATACTAATTCCAAGCCAGTCCTTCAGCATGAGAAACCTGTTAACAAAGGCAGAGACAACAGTAACACCCACAAGAAAAGCTTTTCTAGAAGTTACCAGAAAATGGAGTTTGGCTTTGTGCCACAACAGAAAGCATACGTCACCAGCAAACTGAAAATGCTACACAATTGTTTTATTTCATACCAATAGACCATTCCAGAACTCATTTATCCAACTCTTGATAACTGGAAAAAGTTAAAAAGATGAAGGGACAACTGGCTAGAACATGGTGAGACTCTTTCTTCCCAAGGCTTTCTTCCCAAGAAAACATAAAGCTGAGATTCTGCCTGCTCTGTGGACCAAGATACACGACACCCGGAGTATAAAAATCTAATCCTGAGAACTCAGGCCAAATTCCAATTTGGGGACATTTTTATTGCCTACCAAAAACTAATCTGGCAAACCCAAGTGGGCCACGCATTTTACAACGTTTTCTGTTCTCACTATACTTCTTTCCATGTTTAGTCAACTAAGTTGACTTCATTCCAGTTTGACTTTTGTTAACTTCAGTAGACTTTATAACCAAACATCAAAATTATTACTACTTTCCACATCAGCATCTTGGTATTCAACGACACAATTTCCCCACATCTCAGCACCATCATATGATTCATTTAGTATTGCACTAAGTCTTAGATAAAGGCTGCCAAACTTACAATTTACCTGTACATTCATTTTTGCACACACAACTCTCTCCAGGTTTGTTAGGTTCCATCAGACCCTCTCCTATCAAAACTTCAACTGGCTTGCTTATTTTCCTTATAAAGTGTTGTTTCTTGGCCACAAGGAGTGAGATGCAATTTTAGACCTCATTTATCTCAATTCCAAGAGCTCTCAAATCTTACAGACTAGTAACACAAGGCTTGTAAGGAAGCATTTCCACAACAACTGCTGTGTGAAGTAGAAAACAATGTGAACATAGCTTCTCTTCTGTCCATTTTCATTTTGAAGGGAACTGGCCTTCAACTGTCAGAACAGCTCCCCAGGGAAGAAAACAATCAAGGTCCTGTTTCTTGCCCCACTCCCATGTTCACCCCCTCAAAGGGAAAGCAGCTGTAGTCCTCAGTATCTAATCATCTCCATTTAGGAGGCAAGTCTTTGCCAAAGGAAGCCACATAGAAACACCTAATATTTTCTAATGCTAAGCCGGAATCCCTCAAGGCTAAACTGAGAATTCAGCTCTCAGTTGTTGCATAAAATCAGATTCTCTGAAATCCCTCCACTTTAAGTGGAGTCAAGTTTTATGGGTTGTCACTTTAAAAGAAAAAAAATTCTCCTCTGTACTACTAGAGGAATAAATAATTTTTTTAAAATGGTGATCCATGAAATACATCCACCTTCCGTTATTTAACTTGTGACACTCACATTTTCAGCACTTTCTTCCGAATTTCCACTTCCTTGTCAACGGCAGGATCCTCAAAGAGCTGTACCCTGAAGTTACTCTTCCGCAGGGGGGTATCGCACTCCTGGCAATTCCCAGCCCCTCTCACAAACAGAAGTTCCACACAGCTCTCACATCTGCAGGAGAGAGGAAGGGGTATAAAGGCAGATACATGTTAAACAGTAACTGAAACAGGATCGTCCCCCTTTTTTGCTGTTTACACTCACACACTCTATAAACACACAGCACATCTCTCCTTGATTTCACTATTTCTTCAGCACCCACCAGCGGCAAGGAGGCAAGGCTCTTCACCATGGCTGAAAGGAAGCAATCTCAGCAGCACAAACGCATTTATTCTCCCTGCCCAAACAACTCGGCCTCTTTGCTGAGACTGAAAGTTTATTCAAACACAATGATGGGTTTTGTGTCAAGGGGAAGCTTGTTTATTGACACCATCAAACTTATTTCGCATGGACCAGACTGGGATATCCTTATTTACTCTGAGCACTACTTTGCTGCACAAAAAGCCCTGTTTATTTTCTTGATGCCATTCACAGCGCAAGGTACTATTCAGCACAAGCAGGGATACAAATCTTGCCCACAGCCTTCCAAGCATCTACCAATATTACTGTGGAGGAACTGCTATAACAAACCTGAGCTAAACTCCAGCTAAAAGAACTGAAACACCATTTTAAGCAGCGACCAGTATTATGCAGCTCTCCTGTGCTTTCTGTTAATACTTTTAAAATTGCACATAAAATACACTTCACATAGAGGTTGCACTGAAATAAATCAAAAATGCCCTTCTGGTTTTATTTTTGTCTTAATGAAGATTTCAGATTTTAATAAGATGCTTGCTGACCAGTCAATTGGCATTTAATAAAAGGAAGAACACACAACAAGAAAGCCAATTTTTAAAAAAAAGTAGTTGGGTACTAATAATGTGCAAATTTCTAGCAGAGGACACCACCTGCTGCAGTCATTTCCTACTGCTGGGGAGGCAAGGGGGTGTCTATTTATAGCTTTGCTATACTGAAGCCAAAACAGTTGAACATTAAGGGCTAAGCTGTATTGTACCTTCACAAACCCAGCACAAAAGCTAAACAAGTTAAGAGAAACAATACTGACATGGTTGCGAAGGATCTTAAACAAAACTTTCACCCTGCTGACCTACCCCCAACTAAACTGGTTCCAGTACTTACAGAGGCAGAGCTGGCTAGAGCCAACCAGTTTTATCCTTCTGTCTTCAAGATTAGAAAGTACAAAACAAATGCAATTGTATCTTACAATTAAAAAAAAAAAAAAGAGCAATTTTTTTTTTGTTAACACAAGTAGAACTACAGTTTCAAAATGCATCTTGCACAGCAGCTGTCAACATTAAAGACCAAACCTTGAATTTACTTGGACATTTTCCTGCTCCGGAATCCCTCTAGTTAGAAAACCAAGCACATTTAAACACAATTTATCTGGGAAGGCAAAGATCAAACCTTTTAGCACACTAGACCTGAAATTCAGAAGTTACTGGGATATCAACTCAAGTATGCTTCTTTATGGAAATATTATGGAAATATTTTAGCTCACTACTATGGTAGAAAGAACACTAAATACACAAGAGAACGCAAGGCAGGGAAAGGGTTTTCTCCTTCCTCTCCAACCTGTCTATGCATGCAACAGCCCAGTACATAAGGACAGTTTCACAGTCTCCTTCATTTTGGCAGCTCATGCTGTTTGTACGTCTCTCTCAACACAGCAACCAAAGCGCAGCAAAAAAACCTGCCTCCTCTTTCCTATATTTAAGTTATAGAAAAGGGAGTGTAAAGCTACAGAACTTGGCAGGTGGATCCAAGTGCAGGTGTTTGTATTGGTTTTTTATCTTGGTATTGCCTAAGGACCAACAGAACCGGGCCCCCATGTGCAAGGTATTATGCACAGACAGTAGCAGCTGAAACTACTTCACTTCCCTTCCCCCCCTTCCCTAAATCAAAGACATTTCAAGTTTACACAGGACTTGACTATGGAAAAAATCCCTCCTTGGAAAAGCACTTCGTACAAGTGCTTCAATGCCTTCCCAAACTGGAACCAGTGTTTCTAAGGCTGGAAAATAGCTTTCTATACAAAAAAAAAAGATGAGTCAACACCTCACTACGGGAATCCCGTATCAGGTGATCAAGTTCTTTCTCATTCGCTCATGCACATCCACCCTTATATTTATTCATAGATAATTCCTTCTGAATTCAAAAGGGGTTATATAGGACAAGTCAAGGGCAGAGCTGGACTCCATCCAAATTCTGCCTCCTCTTCATCTCCAGATAGTTTTAACATACACAGTTGGATCCCAAAGCTTACTTCATAGCAGGTCTGTCATTCTTGCCCCCACAAACCGCAGCCGCTTTCCCAGTGATGGCAAACATTTTTGGTCACACATTTCCATCTCAGTCTTGAAAAAGGAAAAAAGCCATCTCCCAAATCCCTCTCAAACGAGTTCCTTTTGGTTTCACTGCAGACCACTGAAGTCAGAGCATATGCAAACACTAGGAAGGCAGATTTCAATAAAGGTGGATTTAATAAATTATTTCACATCTTGAAACAAAGATTTAAAAACCTGTCTTGACAAAATTTTATCTCACACTGTAAAATGTAAAAATACAGCATGACTTTTTTTTTTTTTTTTTTTTTTTAAAAAGAGATGCAGCAGTTTATGTGCCTTCACCTAAGGTACCCAACCCATGCAACAGCGAGACATCCCGGGCAGCACAGGGGGACACCCCAGCACCACAGCTGGCATTACAGAGCTCCATCATGGCACATAGATAACATCAATTCAGGTGATCCTTCCATTTCTTTAAAAGTCCAACTCTTCTCCATTTGCCTTAGTGTAAGGACAGTCTGACTATGGAAGCAGGACATCATTCAGTGCATCTTTTATTGGCCAAAACATCATACATGGCTTTCCCCAAATGAGCAAAGCACAGAAACATCTGCTTAACTCCCCTTCAAATCATGGCCAAAACAGGTGGCCATGTGTTTTCTTAAATTAGGAGCCTTAAATCAGCAATTTTTAATATGCATAAATGTATTATGTATGCATACATGCTACATATATAAACTATTGATGACAAACGTTCATGCTTAAAAGTCAGGTCTATACGTTTGTTCAAAACTGAGTATGTCCGAAAACAGCTTCACATGACGTCTAAACAAACACTCAGGGTGTGATACTGCCAATTCTCCTCTTCACACTGAGGTTGTACAGCCTCTATGATCTGTATTCTATTTCACACATTCACAAAAATCTTTCATTACCTTTTGGGTTTAAGTTTGTATCCTGAGAATAGGTCATCTGGATTAAGACATCAGTAGAAAATGCCCAGGGAGCTACATATGCCAGACGACAGGGAAAGACTATTAGTAATGTCACCAACAAAAGCAATCACAGCACCCCCAGGAATAACAGTCTCCTGGTCTTCCACACGAGGATAATAACCATCAGTACACTCATTTTCATTTCTGTGGAACTGGTTTCATCTGTCTTGTTCTTCCCTTTCATCCCCATGAAATATTAAACAAATGGCTCAGTCTCTACACAGTCTAGAAGGACACTACATTTTTGAGGAAAGCAAAAATAAAGCATCTAGATGGTCTGGCACCATCAATGTGCAAATAGCACTATATGCCTTCATGTCAGTGTTCAAGGACTTCAGGATCAGGATCGTACTAAAAATGCTTTTGGTACATTGCAGAAAACAAGCAGAGGTTCCTCTCCAGAAAACTGTTAGGTATTTATCAACTAAATTACACTTACTGGAACTGAGTGTTTCTTTTGGACAAAGTGTCTTCAAAGGGTACAGGATTTCTGCCCAGTACTGCATTCCCCACACATGCACACATATACTTCATGGAAGGATGATGGCAGATAAGGAATCAAACCTCTTGGACACTGAACGGATGAAAATGGCTCACAACATTAATATAGCTTGATGGTGCTCCTTACTTTTCTAGCTTGGCTGGCAAGAGAGCAAATAAACAGAGTAAAGGAAGAGCTGTTCTCACAAGCAGGAGTACAAGATATTCTTTCTTTTAAAATTTTAGATTCTGCTGAGCATAGCAAAAATTTGCAGGACTTCAGATACGCAGATATTAATCATTTCAGAGGAAAAAAAAATCTTTATGGCTTTTGCTGTTGACTAGGAATTATTACAGAATGAGTTACTACCGTTCTTTACAAGGCTATTTTTAGTAGATATAATTATTAAACAGTATCAAATATTTAGAATCTCTAAGCCCCTCTTCAGCTTTTATAACCAAGATGTTTCTGTTATTTAAACTAACATGCAAAACAAATGATCCTCTCTACTATGGAAAAAACAGTTTAGATTAAAAAATAGTAATACAGCCTTCAACATATAGCCAAGACCTGAACCACAAACAAATGGAATTGAAAGAATCGGAAAAAAAAAAAAAAAAGATGTGTTTTCACTTGTTCCTCAATTCTGATGTCAGCGGGAAATTTGATGGCAAGGGAACATTAAAAACCAAAGGGAAAAACCCACACATGAGAAAGCTTACAGAAAGACATCTAGATTTTTAAATCAAAGATGCTTCCAGAAACATTCACAGGCTTTTTGCTTAGCTTGGGTTAGACAATTTTGTGTTCTTGTACAGAGATCCTTGAACTGAGACAAGAGCAGCCCAATTTGGAACATGCAGGTGTCAAACCTGTTTATTTTGCAACCCCTAGTACATTTAGCAAGTCCTTATAACCCACAGTGGTTTCTGCTACATAGCCAAGAGTTCATCTACTATTTGCAATTGGCCATTGCAGGTTTATTTTCTAGGCTGGTAGACTAATAGGCACAGCCTAGAAGGCAGGTTCTTTCTAGAGTCTGCAGCAACGATGACCTCTGTGATCCAAAAAGCTAAGGGATCTGAGCAAAAGCAATTTTTTTCCCATGTTACACTTAGGGATCAAAAGCAGAGAAAAGAGAAAGAAGCATGACTGCAATGACACCAAACACTTCTGAGCACCTCGGAATAAAGGAGCTTATAAAATCAGTAGCTCCCTGATGAGAAGGGTGTTTGGGACAAAAATAAGTTTTTTCCTTTTCACACCTCAGCTTCAGGACCTCAGAAATCCTTA